CCTAAGACTATGCCAGTGGAGAATGTTGAGGGAGAATGTTTCTCCACCACATCCCTGATCATAGAAAACTAGATGGCAAAGAGTAGGATTCCAACCTGGCTTCATCTGGGCACAATCTGTAGGGTTAAGTAATAAGCGACTCCATTTATATTCTGTATATTCTAGAGTAAGTACTGTGTTACACAGGTGGTGGGAATCAACTATTAAATTCTCTTCTACTTTTCAGAGACTCCATGCAGCATTTCAGATTCATATGATGAAGTCTCATGTGGTAGTAATGGTGTGGGCTCTTGCCATACGAAAGGGCTGATCTATGTGGAAAGTTGCTGACATATTTTATAGCAGATGCATGGAACTTTTTTTTTTTTTTTTTTACAGGATCTACACTACCTGCATACAGTGTGAAACAGCCCTAAGGGGAAAGTTGTCAAAAGCAAACGATATGTGGCATTTTATGTGGCTGGAAATACGCCATCTTTCAAACTCCGTATTTTCTACAGGACAGTGTAGTTTGATGAACATTGTACAGAGGAGGTGATATGTTTGCATAATTTATCTGTGTCATTTACTTAAACTGACAGAAGCTGACTTCCTTCATTTCCACTCATAATGACACCCATCTGAATATGCCTGTTGCCTTAGTATCAGTATTGTCTTTTTTTAAAAAATATAATTTTTATTAACAAACCAATCAAATCACATTAATTACAAATTACAAAGCCAAAGTTTTAAATTTTTGTTGGGGGTACCCATACTTCGAGCTCAGAAAGGGATCCAAACATCTCTCTTGCTGCTGCTTTAATATTCACAGTTCTGTCCAAATAGTATTCACAGCTCTGTCCAATCTTCTCTTTATTATTTTCCTCATCTTCTTGTTGTTGTCATATATTCCTTTCTTTGTGACCTCTGGTAGTCTCCACAAGTGGGTTGAAAACAAATGTTGTTACAGTGGTGCCTCGCAAGACGAAATTAATTCGTTCTGCGAGTTTTGTCGTCTTGCGATTTTTTCCGTCTTGCGAAGCATGGTGTCGGGAAAGTTTTGGAAAAGCTTCAAAAATCACCAAAGTCTTTAAAAACCTCAAAAAAGGCTACCACACCGTGTTCTATGAGTTGCTCCTTGAAGTCAAGTCGCAACTGTATTAACGGTGTTAAGAAAAAGGAAACAAACTTGCAAGACGTTTCCGTCTTGCGAAGCAAGCCCATAGGGAAAATCGTCTTGCAAAGCAGCTCAAAAAACGAAAAACCCTTTCGTCTCGCGAGTTTTTCGTCTTGCGAGGCATTCGTCTTGCGGGGCACCACTGTATATCCTGTGTGGATTTTCCGTTCCTCCAAGAGCCATATTCAAACAGACAAATGCCATTTCAACACTTCCGTACAAAACATTCTTAAAGTCTGCCCTTTGATCCTCGCTGGCCTGTCACTCACTTCTTGATCTTCTTAGGGGGTCCTGCCAGGTCACACTCACAGTCTGATATAATAACAGAGCCATGGTCTCCTCCCCCTCGATCGTAAATGGAACCAGACCTGCTTCCTAATAAAGTATCAGTATTGTCAACAGTGCCCTAAAAGTGCATGCAAAAGTGTTGTCTTTTTCAAGAGAGATTTGCAAGGCTGAGCTACCTTAGGGGTTGCCCTCCAGATGTTGCTGGACTACTACTCTTAACAAACTCTTCCCACTGGCTGTGCCAACTGGGGGCCCCATTGGGGCACCACATTGGCTACCCTGAGCTGGATGAAAATGTTGATTTTCAGAAAACAATAAGATTTGTCCCCCCAGTACCAGTGGAGTCCATTCTTTCATGTCTTGCACAATCATGCACACAGCTTTTGGAAGCATTTGAGCATTGCTTGCTGAACAATGCTTTGAAGAGCCCCTTTTGAGCCGTGTTTGACTCTGCTAAGTTTCATTATATTGTTCCCAGCAGGAAGGCTGTTTGCAGGATGAAAATAACCATTGCTCTGTTTTTGTGCTTTCCTTGGGAAGCTGAAACTAGTCATCAATCACAGTTGTGTATACAGGAAGATGAAAACAAACCAGACTTTTGCAGCCACTGATCCTAAAGATATTTTTATACAAGAAAAGCTCAGGATCCCTTGGCAGTACTTCTGTTGCAATACCAAGTCAGCAAAGCTCAGAAGCATGTTTCAAGTGTCCCCAAATAAGGGTACACTAGATAAAGCTGGTGCATTAATTTATGTATGTATAGGACTTGGCAAAACTGCTTGACTTTGAACATATTCATTCAAGTCCTGTTGACATTCCAGTGTGGTTTGAGTGACCAGATAAGTATTTTTATTCCTTACGTATTAGCAGCCATTCCACCTGGTTGAAGCAATGCAGAGGGAGAGGTGAGACAGTATGGCTTGCTTCATTGCCCTGACTGGGACTAACTACCTTTTAGCTCATCTCTCTGGAAGTGTCTCCATCTGCTTCTATTCCAGCTGGTTATGAAACTATTTGGAATTATGAAGAATAAGTGCCCAAATGTGCTTGTTTTCCTGTTCTCTACTCTGCCCCTTTTTCCATTTGGTGTCTGAGAGGAATTCAGTGTTGGGCTATGACCAACGTTTTGTCTGTGCAAGGATATCAGAGTGTCAGACTGAATGATCTCCCCTCTCCTCCATCCTCATGCTATTTTGATTTTCCCCAGAGCCAATTTTGGGGCCACAAGGGTGCACTGGGGTAGGAGAGGGGGAAAGCCCATTATTCAAGCACAAGCCCTCACTCAGGACTTTCGCTGATGGCACTCATTAGGGAAAATCATCCTTTGAGAATGTAAACCTTTGAAGAAGAGTAGGGTTGTTTTACTTAATATTTGCCCAACTCTTAGAAAACTTTAGAAAACTTTTATCATGCTGGGTCTGATGGGAGATGTCCAAAATGCCTGGAGGGGGAAAGCTTGACTGTTGTGAAGCCTTATGCTGAGCTATACAGGAAGGTAAAGAACTGGTTTCCACCCCAGCAGCTGTCCAAGCTTTACTATGTGGTTCCTACCCTTGCCATCTTGTATGGAAGCTGATTACAGCTGACCCTGTACTGAGCATTAGGAAAGGTTCAAAGCTTCCCCCAAACTATGTTTTCTCATCCTTCCCCCTTACTGTCCCACCTGCCAAGTTGTGGTGGGTATTACTGAAACTTTAATTAGACTTTAATTAGACCGTCCCAAGCACCATGGATTGAAGCTTGAGACTTTCTACACACGCAAGATATGTGTTCTATGGTCCTACAGCCCTTCCAAGGAGCCTAATGCGATGCATTTTTAATCCTTGTTAGTGTTGCTCCTGTCCTTTCCTTGTTAGGCCTTAGTATTCTAATCCCCTTGCAAAATATAAAATTGCGGATTGATGCTAAGGTTGCTTTATTTATAAATGAATAAAAGTCTTTGGAGCACCAAATGCTTATGAGTGGAGTTCATAAACAACTAAGTGGAAATGTTAGAATAAACTCTAAGCACTACCATCCATTCTCTTTCTCCATAGCTCCATTTAATCCATGTCACAATTTTAAGCATGACTTTGAGAAAAGCAACGGAGGGCTGATGATTAATGGATCAGCTCCAAGGGGAGTGCTGACATTTTTATTATCATGCCAGTACAAAGCTAGAACACTAAATTTACGTTTTCCCCTCAGTGCTAGGTTGCTGTTGTGTTACGTTTAATTTATACAGGCAACAACTGATTAACACATGTTTGAATGATACATGGTTGTGCACAAGTGCATGACACCAAACCCCAAAATGCCACTACTATAAATGTGTCACTAAAAAGGCATAATGGGGCGGGGCACGTTTATATGCACTCCGCTGACGCACTTAGGGTCGGGAACAGAACCCCCACGAGAAATGGTAATTGACTGTAACATTTCTTGTTAGTTTCTTCATGGAAACTAAACAGACTTGCATCAGGTTTGTCTAATGGCTTAAGTATTACTGAATATTTAAGTACGATGGGGTGGCTAACCTTTGGCCATCCAGATTTTGCTGGACCACAGCTCTCATTACCCCTGACTGTTGGCCTTACTGCCTGCGGCTGATGGGAATTGGAGTGGATCTGGAGGACCACAGGTTCCCATACCCTTACTCATGGTGTGTGTGTGTGTGTGTGTGTGTGTGTGTGTGTCAGTCCTTGCTGGTACAGATTACTGGCACCTCTCTTGTTGTTGTTGCGTATGACAGTCTTTTTTGCTGGCACCCATGGCACTTTCCTACTGGCACCTCATTTTTTAAATTATAAAAAGCACTGGCCTTACTATAGCATAAGGGTTCTCAGAGCCTCCACAGGCATTTGAAGCATTCTAAACGAAAGCTAAGTACCAAAGTGAAGTGAAAGGTGCAGTTTGTGGTGTGAAGGAAGCTAATGCTGGTAGCCTTTTTAGAGTCTGAACTGCCCCCCATGGCATCCCATTCTTTCTTTTTCTCTCCCTGGCCCCTAATACTTCTTAATCCATTTTGGGGGGAAATTGTTGTCAGCTTCTCAAAAATGGCAAAAGGCATTTTGAAGCAGAAGACAATGGATTATCCATAACATATGTGACTTAAAAAAACAACAACAACTAGGGTTGCCATCTAACCTGAAAAACATGGCCTTCCTTTTTATTTTTCTACTTCCGGTTTTAATATACCGTATATATATATATATATATATATATATATATATATATATATATATTTAAAGTGTGTATGCGTGCAAACAAATTCATATACCATTTAGCCAGGACATATGTGTTTTTGTGTACCTGACTTCAGCACAAGCAGAAGCCTGCACCGTTTCTGAACCTGTCTGAGCTGCTGGCATTGGCCCATTTCAACCTTTGGCAGCAGAGGTAGAAATGCTGGCTTGACTTCTAGGCAGCACAAAGCAGCAGTACTCTCTTTGGACCTACAGCTTCAGAAATAAAGAACAAAACCTGTGTGCCCCCCCCCCAAGACTTCTGGGCCAGCTACCACATCCATGCTTGATAGCAACGACAGTAATGGCAGTCGGACGGGTAGTACCCATTTGCCTGCTGTGAGCACAGTTATTCACCACTTCGATTCTACTGCTGCAACATTCTGGTCATTCATTCTGGATAAGTTACTGTTACAGGCTGTGCAAAGGGCTATTCTTGAAGATACATGGGTGCACTGAAGATGTAGCATATCACTCTAATTTTGAAGGCTTTGCACTGCTTGACAATGAGCTACTGCGCCTAATTCAAGGTCTCTCTATTCACATATACTGTAAAGCCCTTTTGGATGTTGGGGTTGTCTTTTGAGATGTGGGGTGTGTTACTATGTGCAGATAGTATGTTTGGTAGGAGTGGAGCTGCTAGAAACTGAAATAGCTATACCTTAAATGAACAGACAGTTGTCACACTGTCTATGCCCCTTCCCAGTCTTTGTTCGGTACCATAAATTTTCATGTCAAAAGCTGGAAAAATTATTTGCTGTGCTCTGCCCAAGGTTCACCAGAACGCCACCTTTGTAATAAATGTGCTGTCCCTTCCTGCTTTCTTTCGATGTGATGACATACTGCATGGATGATCTGTCTAATCTCCACTTCATTCAATTCAGTATTGCCTCCTGAGCGCTGAAGAGCTGTTACTTGGTACCATGATTTTAACATAATATCTGCAGACATAGAGACTAGAAGCTCGATGCAAAAACAAAGTCACAAACTCCTGATGGTTGAAATCTACAATGTTTTAAGAAGGTATTGCTGGCTAAACAAAACTGTCTGGTCACGTTTTATTCTTGTACTAGGACAGCATTCTTCAACCCAAGTCCCTCCAGATGTTTTGGACTACAGTTCCTGTCTATCCCAGTCAGCATAGCAAATGGTAAGAGATGGTGGGAGTCATAGCCCAGAGCATCTGGAGAGCATTAGACTGGGGAAGCCTGCTCTAGAAAAAAGTGTTTTTACATTATGCTGGAGGTAAAGGATTATACTGGAACCCGAGTAACCCTGCTAAGGTTATACTGGGAAAATTATAAGATGTTAATTTTCCTATTCCCCAGTAGACATTATCCTCCTTCCTCTCTGTTCCTGAACGCTTATAAATTACTGATGATGAACAGTAATTTAAAAACTCTCCCATGGCTGTTCATAATATCTGACACTTGAAGCACCTAGCAATTAGCATTGGTAATATGTGAGAGCATATTTCTGCATTGTGGGAGCTGAGTTTGCTCTGTTACTGCCAACCATTCCTGCCTCCTGTCTCTGACTGGCTCCCCCTCTTATACTGGGATTAAAAAGCAAAAGAGCTGCCACATTTGTGATGCTAATCTTAAGTGAATGGCTTAATACAGTAGGTGTTCTTGTCATAATACATAAGCATTGTCATAACAATCCTGCTTAATATTTGCAAAGTACTGTGTTGAAGCAGAAGGTGGTTTTGGAGAAGTGGATGTAAGTTTTAGCTCGATGATTGGATTATGCCAACCAGTGACCTCACTCCTCTGTTTCTCTTTATAAAGCAAAATGTGGTGTGCCTGGATAGTTGTGGCACTGGATCCCAAGGTAGTTTGGTTTAGTGGAGATATTCAGGATGGGCACAACACCTAGTTTTCTTTTTCTCCCTGGAGCCAAGGGCTGTTCACTACTTTACAGCAGGTGATCCTGTTACTCAGACAGCAAAGTGTGTGCCACCATTTTCAATTAAAAGATGCAATAGGATTGGTTAGTCTTCTGAAACTTTTATTTTTTAAAAAATATTAATCTGCTTGGTTTTCCAGTGTATTCAATACAGCTATTTCTTTCCCCATTCATCACTGTCTTGAAATGCCATTTGACTGATCATTGTACTCTTGACCTGGCTATTGCTGCTGGTAATTATTTCTGAAATTTCCAAGGAACCAAGAGCTCTTGCTTCCTACAGTGTCAGTAACTGCAGTTAATTCTGGTTTAAGCTGAATTTGCAATTTCTGCAACAAAAGATCTATGCGAGTTTGAATTGCCCTGCCTTTTTGAACACCTGATTCTTAGCATATCATTGTCACCTGAACAAAGATGAAATCTAAGTGTGCATGTTTATTATATACTACATGCTTCCTGAGTGTAATGTAATTTCTTCTCTGGGTATCAGCTGGGTGCAACAATAAAAATAGCAAACCTGGAGGTGAGTTTGCTGGAGTGGAGCGGCTAAGTGGAATAATACACCCATTAGAAATGTGGGAGCCATCAACACTCTATTCAGTGTTATTAACAGTGTGAGTATTCAAATGGTAATCTTGTGTCGTTAATTCAGCAGGAATGTGAAAGCATATATTGTATTCATATCTTTGTCAGACTTTTTTGAAACCTGAGAAATGGAATGGGCAGCTCTCATTCATACATTCATGTAAATACAAATGGATAAATCCTGATTTGAGAGGTCTTTTAGAGTACTAGTCTCCTTTATTTGGGTTGGTTCACACATGCATTCATTCCTTGGTGACTGTAACATACATTGGGTGATGAAATGGTTGTCTGAATCAGCCACCACAGTTCAAAATGGAATGTGATTATTTCCAAAGCAAGAGGCACAGCTTCCTTGCATCAGGCATGGGGAACATTGGCCCTCCAGCTGTTGCTGAACTACAGCCCCCATCACCTCTGGCCATTGGCTATGCTTGCTTGGGTTGCTGGGAGTTGTAGTCCAGCAACATCCATCAGGCCAAAGGTTACCTACACCTGCTTTGCATTGTCATGCATGGCATCAAAAGACTTTGGAGCCTGGCCTCTGTTATAGCTGCACATGTGTGAATATGCAATAAGCACAAGGGAAACACTTTTAAAAGCAAATGTACATTTTACCTTTACCTTTACATTTTGGGGACGCGGGTGGCTCTGTGGGCTAAACCACTGAGCCTAGGGCTTGCCAATTGGAAGGTCGGCGGTTCGAATCCCCGCGACAGGGTGAGCTCCCATTACTCAGTCCCAGCTCCTGCCAACCTAGCAGTTCGAAAGCACGTCAAAGTGCATGTGGATAAATAGGTACTGCTTTTGTGTGTGGTATTTCTTCCTATGGGTGTAATTGATCCTCCCTTATTGTGCCCCTCTTTGCCTGCCACCCAAAGCATTCCTATATGACAACCTGGGGTTTTCTTTCAAGGCTGCAGTGGCACTGTCAGCATCTGTTGCTGCTTAGGCACAAGGGATGGGGCATCTTCCAATGCTGGAGCAAGAAAATGTCAGAGTTGACCTGTCATGCTGGTCCTGGGAGCTGAGTACCAGCTCTTGCTCAGCAGAGCCTGGAATTGGTTCTTCAGTCTTGGATTTATTTGGTTGGATGATTTATTTCTTTTGCTTGGTGCCTGTTTTGCTTTAGTGGTTTTCTTCAGTTTGATACTATTAGTAATGTTTCTGAACTGATAAAAAAGGTGTCTGAAGCCCTTTGTCCATCATGCTTAGAAAGAAGAGTGCAGCTTTTATTAAAATAGAGAAAGACTCAGAAAGCTGAGATAAGATAATAGGAAATTTTGAATCCACTCCCCCAGTTGTTGGGAGGGAAGAAAGGAAAAATTCACACGAGTTTCTTGATGTTCAGAGTTGCAGTTGCTGCCAACCATATGTGGCACGAGTTTAATCAGGAATAGGATATTGTCCTTGACAAAAATGGACTTTGCTTTTCAGATGTAGCAGTCTTAATCTGTAACCTCATTTATGCAACAATTGTTTGTTTTTTGGGTTGTAGTCCTAAGAACAATTGATCCCCCTCAAATGGGACTGTAGCCCTTAAATACAACATTTCATTTATTAATTTTAACAGGGATGGGAAATCATTGTCCTTCCAAATGTTGTGGGACTCCAGCTCCCATCAGCCCCACCTAGCATAACTGCATTGATCAGGAATAATGGGAGTTGTAGTCCAGCGACACCTGGAGGGGCACAGACTCCCTTCCCTTCTTTAGCTTTTAATTTATAGTTGTCAGCGTAGTGGCTACTTCATCATCTTAAGGTCCGTTCTTGTTTGGTAGTTTGCATGAATGCATGGACCGAACTGGACAAATTCGTTGTTCACGAAGGGGGGGGGGATATTCAGAACAAATATGCATAGGACTGTGCTGTGAGACAGTAAATTTATCAAATGATTTGCAGATTTATTGTCTGTTCATGTGTCTTACACTCTAATTATACTCTAAACATATTTTTCTGAATTTTTCTAAGTTCAGTGGTACTTGTGTCCAAGCAAATGTGCTCAGGATAGCAATCTAAATTTGTCTGCTGAAATGATTTTTTGCTGTTGAGGACAAACATTACTGTTTGAGACTATTTTATTTTTTAAAGTTGGACAAGGTTCCCTACCCCCAACGTTTTGCTAGTGCATTCCTTGAAGTCAACTGTAAATGAGCTGAGTTTCTCTCAGGAACTGCAAGGTGTTAAAGATAACAATGATATCCTTTGAAATTTAAATGCAAAACATGATAGTATTTCACTGTGTGGGAACAGAAGGCAAATATTCTGGAAACATTGGATTTCTCTTTAAAAAGGCATTTATGAGAATGGCCACATTTCCACAGTGAGCCTTCGTTCAGCCTGCCCTTGAAGATGTACAACCCCTTCGCCTCCTCCAGTTTTTTATCTCTGTCTGCAGGTGGACTGTGGGGGAGATGAAGCAATGACTGATAATATTAACTCTGTGTGCATTTGAGAAGGCCTGTATGGTAACATTGTTCCATGCTGGGAATATTTATTCCCTTTCTTCTTTTTGTGCAGTGCTTGGTGGTGATTAAGGCTCTGTCTGCACCTTACATTTAAAGCACTATTATACCACATTAAACAGTACAGTGGTACCTCAGGTTACATATGCTTCAGGTTACATATGCTTCAGGTTACAGACTCCGCTAACCCAGAAATAGTGCTTCAGGTTAAGAACTTTGCTTCAAGATGAGAACAGAAATTGTGCTCCGGCGGCGCAGCGGCAGCTGGAGGCCGCATTAGCTAAAGTGGTGCTTCAGGTTAAGAACAGTTTCAGGTTAAGAACGGACCTCCGGAACGAATTAAGTACTTAACCCAAGGTACCACTGTAATGGCTTCCCCCAAAGAATTCTGGGAACTGTAGTTTAAGAGTGCTGAGAGTTCTTAGGAGACCCTGTTACCCTCAGAGAGCTATAATTCCCAGAGTTCCCTGGGAAAGGGGGATTGACTGCTAAACCACTCTGGAAACATTTATCTATTCCATTTATACCCCACATTTTCCTCCAAGGAGCTCAAAGTGGTATATATGGTTCTCGTCTTCCTCATTAAATTGTAGCTCTGTGAGGGAAGGGCATCAGAGTGTGTGTTACAAGTCTGTAGGCCCTTGTTAAAACCACAGCTTAGCCATTAATTCACTAAGTTTCTCCCCTTCAAGCTGCTATTTCTCATAATGCTTTCCCTCTTTTCTAATGCAGGGAAAAAATGGTTTAGAGCTGCTTTACAAGTTGTAAAGTTCACAGAGGTAAACTAAAGTTTACTGAGGTATACTAAGGTTTCCTGTAAAGTTTATTGCTATACATATCCAATGTGGTGCCCTCCAGATGTTGTGTGCTACAACTCCCACCATCCCTGACCTTTGGCTATGCTGACGGGAGTTGATGGGAGTTGTAGTACAAAACATCTGGAATACTAAGCTCAAGCCCCGAAGATGTGTGCACAAACTAGAACTTTCTGAATGGCCTCTCCCCTCAGGCCTCTGCAGATTTTGAAAAGCTACTCGTGAGAATCAGGGAGTGCACCATATACCGTGCATCTGCATGATTTGCATGCAAAAGGTCCTTTGTTCATTCCCTGGCATCTCTTGAGTAGGGACAGGGAAAGAACCCTAAAACCCCGGAAAAGCTCCTGTTAGTGTAGACAAAGTGAACTAGATGGACCAGTAGTCTGGTGGTGCTGAGAATAGAAATAACAAAAAACAGAACAAAGCAGAAGCATTTTCCTTGGTTCTCTAGTGTGGTTTCTCTGCTGTTCTGTCAGAGGAACTAGCAAAACAATTGCACATAGCTTTAGGAAAATGGAAATATGGTACCTGTTTATTGTGCATGTTAAGCACAATAGAGTGCATTCAGTATCGCCAAAGACTTGTGAAACGCTGTGGAGATGATTCAGGCTTAGTAATTTTACTATGCTGGCTTTCTTGATACTGACTAATGTTTGTGGTATACAGCTTTTAAAACAACAATCGAATGATCTGAAATGGTATAAAGCAACTTCCTATGTTCCTGCCTGACACGGTGTTTGGGGACTGCAGATAGAAGTTAAATTCTGCGAAGTCCTGGCCACATGCTGGAGTATTTTAGGCCCATGCAGAGGGCTTCTTGCATCCCAGTGCAAATATTACTTTTTAACCTCCAAATGTCTAAGAACGATGATGCAGGCTTTCTCTGTAGACCACTCTCTTTCTCTCTCACTCCCAGAATTTCCAGGGAATTATGATTAAGCGATTGAAGTGCAGATGTTTCTCACATTCCATTCTTGTATAGCAGAATGGGATATAAATCTATGGTGCGGTTACATTTGAAATATAGTTCTGGCTGACGCATCGCAAAAGCCATTTCCTGTCATGCACAACAACCGTCACACAGATCACCAAAATTATGTTATCTTTTAAAGGGTGACAATAATTAATATTGTATGCAGGGCTGCCTTTTCACTAGCAATAAAATCTAAAAAGTATTCTCCAAACACCACCCAATTGTGATACAAAACTGAGAAGGGGCTTTTATTTGGGGAGGAGAGGGGGACAAACCTATAAAAAACAGATTGGATTTTCTAAGCTACTTTTTAAAAGTAAATTAAATCAGAAGTAGCTCAGCTTATTTCTTAGCCACTCTGATGCTTTCACCTACAGTAACACAGCTAGTTCAAGTTCACTTCAGTCAATGGTAGGTGCAAACAACTAATACTTTAAATAATTGAGTCTGATTGTTCAAAATATTTCTGAATTCATAATTTGTGTATATCCCAAACAGCATATGTATGTACTTCCACAGTGACCACTTCCTCAGTGGCTACTGAGGAAGATGTGTTTTGATTGAAACATGTTAAATTTATTGTACTGTATGGAGGCAAGATATTTTAGGTTATCTGTGATAGTCATTTTTTGCATTTGTGTAAAATGTAAATTTACGTGATCAAATTGGCATTAAATCATTTTAATTTTCTTATCCCAATAAAATATCATTCAGCAAGCAATACACTTTCTTCACATATAGTAGCACACACAGTGTCTGGTGATGGTGTGGAATTTGCAATATAAAATATGTGTTAAAAGGTATTTTGCATATTTTAAAAACTGCTGCATACTTTTGCTGGCTCCCCCGCTTTGTGAAAGCCATGTAATTTGACCAGAGTTAATCGACCGCTTAGCTTTGCTAGTATGTACACAGAGCTGATCTGGCATGACTTCCCTAATATCTGGCGGAGTATCTTGTAGTACATCAGAAATGCCCTAAGTGAAGCCAAGTGTGTGTGTGAGATGCCAAGATACAAATGCTCCATTAATAATTTAACTTGCGGTGTTAGGTAAGTAATGTAAGGAAGAACTGTATTTGCAAGTGGTAATGAGAGTGTGTACTTTGAACGCTGCTGCTTTGTTTATTAATTTCCTTTTGACTGCCACTAGTGCCAGACCAGTGGGCACAGGCAGACCTGGGACCCCTCAAACCTTGTCCTTCTCTCCATCCTAGCATATACACATTCTTTGTATTGTCTGAGAAGAACTCTGCATATAAAACTGTATGATGCGCAGAGGACTATTTATGTCTTTGGGAACCCTACTTTACCAGGACTCTGAAACATACCCCTGCCCGTACGGGCCAGTCGTGTCCGACTCTAGGGTTGTGCGCTCATCTCGCTCAAGAGGCCGGGAGCCAGCGCTGTCCGGAGACACTTCCGGGTCACGTGGCCAGCGTGACGAAGCGGCATCTGGCGAGCCAGCACCAGCGCCGCACACGGAAACGCCGTTTACCTTCCCGCTATAAAGCGGTACCTATTTATCTACTTGCACCCTAGAGACCAACTAAGTTTGTTCTTGGTATAAGCTTTCGTGTGCATGCACACTTCTTCAGATACCACAAGATGCACACAAGAAGATATTTTCACACTGGATGTGCATATGTTGGAGGCAGTGTCACCTCCCCATGTTCAGTATCTATAGTAGGGATGGGGAACCTTTTACAGACAAAGGACAATATTTCTTTCTGGTCAAGAGGCAACATGCCGGTGTTGTTGTTGGGGGAGGGGTTGCAGAGGTAAAAATAGGCAGATCAATTGATACTCATGTCATCTTTGTGCAGCAGGGTAGTTTCTACATGCACTCATGTACCCCTTCCTAACCTCTATTCAGGTAAGCCGGACACAGAATGCATTCCAGCCCCTGGCAGAAACAGGGAAGGAGGGTGAAAAGCAGGGCTGATGAAGAGTGGGAAGGTTTGTGGCCTGGAGAGAATCCTTAACACCAGATAGAGAGACCTGGAGGGCTTGCATGAGATTGTTGCTTTGATTCTGGATGGAGCATAAGAGCGCATCTGGGGGCCTCCTAGAAGTATTCTGAGCTATATAACAAAACTAGTGGAATGAAAAACTGCTCTGGATTAATGTCGCTGGCTATGAAGATGAAGATCATGCCTGCATCCAAAAGGATGTGAAGGTGTGTGTTTGTGTGTGAGAGAGAGATAGAAAAGAGAGAGAGAGAGAGAGAGATGGGGTTACTGTACTTTCTACTGCTCTTTCACTTAGCTTGCTCCCCACTTGCTTTCCACAGCAGGTGTGTCAAAAGCCTCTGTCTATTTGTAGGTGGATAAAGGCTGTGTGTCTTTTGAAATGCCACCCATTCATCCCACCCAAAATATTGTTGTCTTTGTTCAGGCCCATGGATGTTACACTGTTAGTGCGAAATGGAAATTTCCATGGGTTTGCCATCACGATCCATTTAATATTTGTTAGTTGGGTGCTCTTATATGCCCATTGGTACATAAATCTCTGAGGAGGGTACAGACTTAAAAACCTCAGCGGGTATTGCTTGGTTTAAACGCAGTGTTATAATCAGATTTTGCTCTGCTGCTGTTAAAAAAACTTAAAATCCGAAAGCAGTTTTTCTTTTAAAACAATTGATTCTCTCCTTGCCATCTCCTTTCTAAAGCCTGTAGTTGACACTTGGAGTAATGTGATAGCTAATGCCTACGATTCACTCCAGTGCAACTTAATTTCATATCTGACAAGGGGATTCAAGGCATTTAAATGATATAACAGCTAATGACGCTGAGAAAAGATAATAGAGATTTTTTCCATACTGTTGTGGTCCCTAGCTGTGCATTTGCTGTATAATGGTTGTGGGGTTTTTTTCCCTTTTGGAAAGCTGTACTGAGTGATTTGCCAGGCTAGCAAAATCAATTTCAGATGTCATAGGGTATGTTTATTGCATCTGTTTTGCCCTGAGGTTTGTTTCCCTATAGTATTTATTCCAGAGTATCAATGCAAATTTCTCTGGAATAGAACCAAAGCTTTTCATTAGGCATCTTATTTATTTATTTTTATAACGCATTAGCCTTGCCTGTCAATGTTAAAAAGTGAGATGGAGGAATTATTGTGCAAAGGGAAAGAAAAAGTTTGCCTTGGCTCTTTACTGACCTAGGCCTATATGTGTACCCATTCAAGAAAAATCAAAAGCAGAACTGAATTAGGCCAAAATTGATTTACAATACTTGTGATATAACTAAGGAACAATTCGCTGGATAGCCTTAAGTGAATCAGGAGACATTATAGCTGCAGATCTTACAGACTTCTGGCAATTTAAGGTAACAACTTCCAGAGGGAAGTCATGTTAAGGTTCATTCACACTTACTCTTGTCCCATTACACCCATCCCCTGCGGAAACAGCTTTTTAGCACTCAGAGCAAACATTAATTCACGTTTACTCCTGGTTGATACTTTCCTCTGATGCAACAATAAAGAGTGGGTTTCCCCTGAGAAAAGAATGGGGCAAGGGGGAAACTGCTTTCCCCTATGCCTGGAATGTGCAGGTGAAGCAGAAAACTGCTCGGACCTGTGCTTTCTAGGCATGCGATAAGTGGAAAAGTGGATGAGCTCTTATCTTAATCTGCTGCAGCAAAAATGAACAAAGAAACAAACAAAATTCAGTGAGTGCTTCTTTGAAGGCTCAGAAATGTGTTCTTGATTAATCTGGAAACATTTCTAGACCACCTAATATTAGAAAATATCTAAGCACTGAACAAATGTAGTCTAAAAACATAACAGTCCCCTCCTGAAGCTTGTGGGCTCCCAACTCACACCAGCCCCTGTCATCATGACAAAAGGTCAAGGATGTTGAGAGCTTGAGTCTAGAAACATCTGGAGGGGCATCACATTGGCTAAGTTTTCACCGACTAGAATTCACTTCATCAGATTCTGCTGAAAAGGTGAAGACCTTGAAATGCATACTTCACTTAAAAAAACACTATGTACTGCAATTTTGAATGCTGGTTAACCTATCATGAAGCTCAGCTAAGCATTCAGAAGAGGGTGGTTGAACACGCAGCCTGCATGTGGCCCCTGTGGCCATTTTTGGTGGCCCTCAGCAACATTCAGAACTTCTTAAAGCAGCTTGAGTATCCAGCTTTTGTGTATGTGTGTGTGGTGGTGTTCTGTGAACAACTGGCTCCCTTTGTTTGACTAGGTGTTTTGTACTTCCTGGATCTTGCTCACTGTGGAATTGTCCAAAAGGCAAATGGGAGTGCAAGGCTTCAAGCCAAAAGACTGCCATTTTAAGGTTCTCCTTTTTTCCGTTAGAAGGTATGGCCTTCTAACTGAACGTCTGCCCAAGAAGGATATAAGGTGGTCGATAAGCTTTAGACATCTTTGGACATTTCCTGCTTGGAACTGTCCAAGGTCCTGCAACTTTTACCTGCCTGGCTAAGCCGCCCACAGGAATCGATCTTAAGCTGTGGGGTGCCACTTGTGGTCAGGACAAGGTGTGTCCCACATCACACAAAATTGTTGGGCAAGGGGTATACTCACAAGTGTGGTTGAGCTCTGTACTAGCACTTCAGACCACATCCCATTTCATTTCTATACCGATTTAGGGCTTTCGGTCAAATTGCTTGTTGGTGCTCGATTGTGCTGCAAACAAATGCATGCAAGGTATAATGCCACTCACCAACCAAAACCACAGACTTGGTTTTAAAAATATTCCCTTGCCTCTTGGCGCTTCAGAATGAATAACGAAAGTGGAAGAGCCAGCGGGCTTCATGTGTTCTAGTGTGGTTAATATGCAGTTCTACTTGAAGACTGTTATCCACTTACTGCTGTGGCTTCTGCTGTATAGAATTCTCCCTCTCTCCTTACCTCCGCTTGAACTTTTGGATTGAAAGCAGAATAACCAAGGAGTCAATACACTAATCCTATTCCGCTTTTACTTAGCTGCAACGACAGTTTGTCTTTCATTTTTCATTTTTGAAAAAGGCCCTGTTGTGCAGGGTTATGCAACTAAGCTTGGCTGAAGAATTAGATTATGATGAAGGGGGAAAGCAGGGACCTGCTGTGCACATTAAATTGTAAGAGCTCGGAATGGATTTATGTCCTCAGCTTTTCTAGTTTTGTCTCCCCCCGCTTCGTATTGCTCTCTGCATGTCTGTCGCTCTCATGCTTCAGTTAGGGAACTTAACTGAATGAAGTTCTAAGAAAAATCTGGTGCGCCTTTCCACAGGCAGTATTCGTCCAGCATTAGCCCAGTTGGCAAAGCAGCTGAGCTTGTGCCATATGCATTCTGAATTGCCATGCTAGAGCTGAGTTTATACAATGTATTCATTCCAGTTTCTTATTGCTGAGCAATATCTCTGTTTGAAGACTACTGCAGTGTGCTTCACACAGGGCTGCCCTTGAAAACTGTCTGGAAATTTACCACTGGTTTAGAATGTGGCGAATGTTAATACCGAAGGCTATCTGGAAATATAACATTGGTGTTAAAATTTCTCTGGCTTCCACATGGTTTCTGGGTCCATCTGTAAGTGCCAACCTTTTTGAAGACGTTAGGAGCGTCCTACTCTCGTGTAGGACTCTGGTAGAGACACATGCTTGATTGGCATGTTGTCTCCCTCCTGGTCAGTCATTTGGCAACTTCAAAAGCTTTCTTCTGCCCGAACATTACAGCGACTGATACCAAAAGGCATTAGCATGCTTAGGGATCCTGCAGAGTATTTGCAGTTAGCGTAACAGAACTCAGTAGCACAGCATTTTGGCTAATCTATTTTTATTTACATATAATACACTCGGAGCATTCTGCTTTAGCTCCATCCTCTTTCTCATCAGACAGCAAAGAGAAAAAGAACAAAGGACAATAGTCCCACTTCATGGAACACAGTAACACAAAACATCCTGTCTCCGTCACTTCCCACACTGTGAAATAAAAACACACCATCATGTGATAGACAACAATCCCATGACTGCAAACATGGGGAATGAATCTCAACAGTTCAGAGGTGTAGCCCTTCAGGTGCTGTGCAGCTACAGCTCCTGTCATCTCTCACCATTGGCCAGGCTGGTTGGGAATTGGAATCCAGCAACATTTGGAAGGTATCAAATTGACTACCTCAGCACTAAATGGTCTGTGCTCAGAATATCTAAGGACCAATATGAACCTATCTGGATGTTGAGCTTCTCCTAAGAGAATCCCCAGTTACCTAATAAGGTATATCTCTGTGTAGGACTATATATAGTGAGTGGCTGTGGAACCTTTCATGAAGGAAGTCTGATAGGTCTTCAAGGTGCGAAACCAAGATAGTTCTTTTCTAGAAAGCTTTCATTTTGCATTGATAAATGAACACTGTTTCTGCTAACTCTATGACTTGGCTTTTATTGTTTCTATCAGTTTGTGTTGTTTCCTGTTTTAAAATGAAGATTTTAAACTTGTATTGCATTTAGTATATATGGCAAACAGTCTTGGAGATTTTACGTTGAAAGGAGCATGTGGGGTTTCCCCACCACCACCCAAATTAAATGTGATTTTCTTCAAAACGTTTTTGAAGGCTGCTTTCTCCTCAGGTTGTGCTTTTTTTGGCGCCTTAACAATTTCCTAGGAAACAGACTGGTTTGCATCACTTTTCCTTTTGTGCAGCATCCTCCATGAGGCATCCAAAGGTGCTTGAAAAGAAATCAATAACTATTAGCCCTTGACAAACAACATTCAAATGCCATTTGTTTTGATGGGGCTTACAGTTGTTGTTGCATTTCTATAACCTAAGGAGAATCAGGTGTGGTGTACTATCGATATTCCAGCTTCCTGTGAGGAAAATGGCCAGAACTGGACACCTCTTCCCTTCTCTTTTCTACAGGCAGTGGGGGAAGAAGGCTGCGCTTGCATTAGGAACAGAGCTAGCTCCTAAGGCCTGCTCTACCCAGGCATGATATAGGAATGGACAAACATGTCAATTTTGGTTTTTCTCAGTTTCTTGTTTTTCTAGTCTTGAGTTCATTTTTTTACATCATTCCATCAAAAAAAAAAAAAAAAGCAAAAAAAAACAACCCTCATGAAAATTCCTCAGCACTTTAGTGGAGATTTCTCCTAATACACTTTTGCACAGTCTTTCCCAATACAATGTACCGTGTTTTTTGCTCTATGAGACTCACTTTTTCCCTCCTAAAAAATAAGGGAAAATGTGTGTGCGTCTTATGGAGCAAATGCAGGCTGCGCAGCTATCCCAGAAGCCAGAACAGCAAGAGGGATCGCTGCTTTCGCTGCGCAGTGATCCCTCTTGCTGTTCTGGCTTCTGGGATTCAGAATATTTTTTTTCTTGTTTTCCTCCTCCAAAAACTAGGTGCGTCTTATGGTCTGGTGCGTGTTATAGAGCGAAAAATACGTTATTTTGTATCTTTACTAATAGATGCATTTTTAATGTACACCTTTTGTACAGACTGCTTGACTGGAGAATAGAACTGTGAAATTAGGGGAAGGGCGGGTGCATTTTAGTTTGAGTATTTTTTTGGGAACTGTAAATTAGGTAAGTTCACCTTTAAATGCAAGCTGAACTGAATTCCTCCCCTCCCACATATTTTGTGTGAAATGATCCCTTATCTACTGCTACTGTAACAGGATCAGAGGATATTGTTGCTATGGAACATGGATTGGGCCTAGTTTGCATGTTGCCACAGATACATTCTCCTTTTTACCTTTTAAAACCTGTTATTGAATTGGGAAATAAAACTGAGTGTCTCCTGCCATTTTCCCACTCCTACCCTTTTGTTCACCTTTCCTTTGTTGCGCTTACTGTGGCTGGGGGGACAAAAAAAAGCCTCCTTCTCCGCTTAAATGTTAATTTAGTAATAAATTCAATAGGGTGTTGGTTTTTAAAAAAGCTTTATAAGATAAAAGTAACACCTGAGGTGCATGTGTTTTTTTGGGGGGGGGGGAAGGAGGGAATGCTTCACTAGTCCGGTCTACCTGTAAATATGTCATTATACCAAAAAACATGTTCAGTTGAAACTGCTGAATCAAAACACTGTCTATAGTGTAATTGCTGACAAAGAAGAAATGATGTACATTGTAGAGTGAAAGTGGCTGTAAAAGAGTCATGTCAAACAGGCTAGAAACAGAGAGGGTGACATGTCAAGGCAAAGAGAACTGAAAATAGGGATCTCTTAGCAACTCTCAGTACCCTTAACAAAGTACATATCCCAGGATTCTTTGGGGGAAGCCATGACAGTTTAAAGTGAAATGATACTGCCTTAAATGTATAGCAGAGAGCTGGTCTGAGAGAGGGCTTCTGAGGGTAGATTGCCCTCTCCATCCATGGAGAGGGAGATTTGCAAATCCTATTCCCCTGGGATGGCCTCCCAGGAACTGTAGGGCTGTCTCCCAATTTTCTAGCATGCTTTGCTCAATGTGCAATGTCCATTGTGAAACTTTCATAAAGAACAACAACAGTAACCCTATTTTTAATATGGCAGGATTTGGGATTATAAAAATTATTCTTTTTACTTGTTTAGAATTCTTATATCCTCCTCTGTAGCCTAGTGAGTCTCTCAAAGCGACTTACAAAACCCCCACATTGAAAATGACACGAGCGTTATCAGAAATGACAGAAAAGTTCTTTTTATTTTTCAGGAGAAGTTTAAAGTCTACGATAAAGGTTATTTACAACAAGAATGTTTAAAAATCTAGTACGAATAACCTTTCCCAGCCAATTCTAATGCCAGTACAATCTTTGCATAGCATTACCCTAGATACAGATCAATGCTTCTGTTTTTATCTTTTGGGAAATCCTGCACAATTCTCCTCTGTCTCCCATGAGCATTTTCTAGCAGCTAGTTCAGTGGCGATTCCTTGGGGGGAAGTGTGCTTTTGATGTTGTTGCATAAAAGCCACATAACCTCTTTAAAGCCAATGTCTCATGAGTAAGCCTTAGCATTTTTTTTGTAGCAGAAACATGAGCTTCTCTGCTTCTTTTATTAGGTACACACACATTTTAATCTACATAGGTAAAAGTGCTTTGAATTGTAAATATTACCACTAATATAGCCCCCTTCTGCCTTTATGACATTGATATTAATGCACAGGTGTGCATATATTTCTACTGATAATGAGTGCAAAGGGTTGCTTGCAAATGATGCAAATACTCCCTATGCAAGGGAAATGTAATGGTGTTGAACACAAGAACAGCCAAAGCAACAAACAGCATGCACAGAAACACTTAAAACACTGAGATTTAAGACAAGACTCACAAGAGGAGATGCGCAGAGGAGATCACACTGAGCACCTGGAGGGGCTAGGGCTGTACCTTTTTAGGTCCATTTTCAGAGTGTTCCCCAATATTCAGTTACTTGCTACATCCTTCAGCATAAGCAAAATATAAAAGAATAATGAAGAACCCTTTCATTGAGTCTTCTGAGAATGATTGCATTTGGATCTAAACAGTTGCGCCAAATATTTAAAGCACACGGTAAACCCCCACAAAGAATCCTAGGAACCATAGATTATTAAAAGTGCTGGGAATTGTAGCTCTGCAAGGGGTGTGCCACAGTTCCCATGATTCTTTGGGGGAACCAGCGCGCTTTAAATGCATGGATATATAGGAGTGCATGGAGTGAAGATCTTCTGATGCAAAGAAGCCTGGAAACATATAAAGGTGTTAGTTTGATCATGTTTAGTAGCAGATGCAATTTCTAGCAAAACCACTGCAAACAAACAGGGATGTTAAAGCAGCTTTGCATTGGCTTACACTCTGGAGTCTAGCTGTTGAAAGTGCTTTGCTCTTGTCCAAGGGCCTGATAATTCCATTTAAGCCTTAAAAAGCAATCTCCCCTTCACTATGGTCACTAGAAAGTACTTAAAGATGTTGAGCTGTATTCCTCATGGTTGATTCCAGCTTATAGGCAGAGAGACTTAAAATCCCCCATAGGACCGAGATTTGTTAAATTTGACATCCTTTGTGAACTCTTTTACATCCCTTCAAATCCTGGGTATTTCATGTGGAATGGGTGCGAGCTTTCTCTCCTTTGCACATAGACACACTGTGTCAATCTTTATTTTATGTCAACACACTTACTTTTTGTGTTGTGATGGATGAGGGTGTCTTCCCGCTACATGATGGGTAAACATGTGAACTGACTCCTAGGCTGTGTAAACACCATACACTGGAATCACATTTTGGGGGTTTAATGTAGTACTGCTCAGAATGTTTGCCCACAAAAAATTGCAAGGCAGAAAGTAGATAAAATGTTTTTCAGAACCCACCTATTCACTTTTTTCTTTGGTGTCTTGTTTGTCCCTTGATTGGTTGCTCCTTTGGTACCATATTTTTTAAATAAATTACACGAACAAACTCTTCTTCCTTCTGGGAACAATGATGCTATCATGTAGCCAACCAGACTAGAATGGAATGGAAGGTGAATGGAATGCTTTTTGTATCACATTGCTTTCACTTTGGATGTGTGAACCTGTTGCATCCTTTCAAACATCTTGAACAGGGGTAGGCAACCTAAGGCCAGATGCAGCCCAATCGCCTTCTAAATCCAGCCTGTGGATGGTCTGGAAATCAGCGTGTTTTTACATGAGTAGAATGTGTCCTTTTATTTAAAATGCATCTCTGGATTATTTGTGGGGCCTGCCTGGTGTTTTTACATGAGTAGAATGCGTGCTTTTATTTAAAATGCATCTCTGGGTTATTTGTGGGGTATAGGAATTCGTTCATCCCCCCCCCCCCCCAAATATATTCCAGCCCACCAAATAGTCTGAGGGACGGTGGACAGGCCCATGGCTGAAAAAGGTTGCTCACCCCTGATCTTGAACATTGTTTAAATAGTTGTAGAGTTACTTTCGGGGGGTGAAGGTGAGATAATTTATTTTTTTAAATTATGCTTGCCATTTAGGGCACTGCACACAGGAAAACAATCAAATACATGTTATTAATAGTATCCCATTTTGCCAGCATTAGCGAATGCTAATAAATAGAAAGGTAACCACTGAAAAAAGAAAACAGGAAAGCTAATGCTGGGCTGCACAAGTGAAGCATCAATTTTTGGTTATTCAGCTGCTATTTTGGAGGTTTTATCTTGTTGTTTTATCTCATCTTCTCGTGTCTGTGTAATAAACTCAACCATGTTTTTTGCTGATCCATCTCAAGGGGCATTATTTCCTCCCCCCCCCAATAGTTTTGCTGCTGGTTTTGATCATACCATCAGAGAAGCATAATTCTTTTGCTGTAGTAAAGATCCTTGTTTATTTCCTAATTATGTTCTCTTCCCCCAATTTTGTAATTCTCGGCATTTTGTTGTTCTCAAAAGAACTGGGTATGTAGTGAATCTGTCTGTCAATTTAAGATTTTGGTGGCGACTTTTACCAGGAAGCTGCATTGTTTTTCTGATCTGAAACAAGGGCATCAAAGACAGCATGCCAATTAGTTAAAGCTCATGAGACCTGATATTTAGATTTTTTTTTTAAAAAAAAGATTATGTCCCCCCTTTCTCCCAGTATGTCATGACTCAAGGCAGCTTACAGCATGAAAAACAAATACAGCCTGGAAACGTAACTGTTATAAATATTATTTCATTTAAAAAATCAGTTACTGTATTAAAAGCAGCACTGAATTAAAGCTACTTTAAACCATTTAAAAACACAAGAGGAGAAGAAACCAAACAACACCCACCATTAAAAGTCCTTGCCATAACATCCAGTTAGTGGCCAAAGGCTTGTGTAAACAAAAAAGTCTTTGCCTGTTAGCAAAAGGAAAGCAGGGAGAGGTCTAGCCTAGCCTCCCATGAAGGGGTCTCCCATAGTCTGAAAGCAGCCACTGAGAATGCCCTCTCTTGTGTCCTCACCAAATGTGCCTATTGAGGACGCAGGACCAAGAGAAATGCTTCACCTAAAGATATCAAAGCCTGGGCAGGCTTATATGGTCCTTCAGATAGTCTGTACCAAAGCCATATAGGACTTTATACGTTTTCCAGGCCAACAGTCTGATGTCTGCCTATTTGCATGACATAACTATTTTTGCCGCTTGGATTCACTTACCAGGTATTATGACAAAACTACTTAGCTTGTAAATCTGTATCTGCATCATGGTTTTTCTCCATGGTGGCCGGGAAGAGGCACCAACCCCAATTCCTGCTACACAATACATTCCCTTCTAGCAGGTTCGGATGGAGCTGAAGGCTGGCAATGGTTGTACTGCAGATATATCATACTCCCTGATCAATGCCAGACTATCTGGTGGAAGGTGAAGAGGAGAGGTGGCCTTAACCAGTGGGAAATGGAGAGGCAGAGGATCTGGGAACTGTACAGGGAATCTGTGGGCCATGAATTGAGCCATATCAAACATGTTGCCCATGCCAATTTATAAAGATTGAATTGTAGTTTTTGTTTCCTGTAATATAAGTAAAATGTTCTCAAAATAACAAGAATATTGGGATTAAGGAGACATCTGAAACAAACAATGAAAATGTTGGTCAATATCAGGATAGCATCATTAGTTAACTCAATTTGATTTTAAGGTAAAAAGGTAAAGGTAAAGGGACCCCTGACCATTAGGTCCAGTCGTGACTGACTCTGGGGTTGCGGCGCTCATCTCACTTTATTGGCCGAGGGAGCCAGCGTACAGCTTCCGGGTCATGTGGGCAGCATGACTAAGCCACTTCTGGGGAACCAGAGCAGCGCACGGAAACGCTGTTTACCTTCCCGCTGGAGCGGTACCTATTTATCTACTTGCACTTTGACGTGCTTTCGAACTGCTAGGTTGGCAGGGGCAGGGACCGAGCAAGGGGAGCTCACCCTGTTGCGGGGATTCAAACTGCCGACCTTTTGATCAGCAAGTCCTAGGCTCTGTGGTTTAACCCACAGCGCCACCCACGTCCCTTTCGATTTTAATGTACTTTGCTACAATTTGTAAATGGGATGTTTGGAAGCAGTGTTTGCAGAAATGAGCAATGGTACATAGTTTCTGTTATTTTTTGAGGAACCATATGATTCAACTCATTAGCCCAGGAACTATGTGTAACAGAAAAGGATTATTGTGTAAGGGTTCAACATGTTGTATCTCAAAATAACCTGAAAGCCGGCTTTGTTCCTTTGTATTCTGTAACATTATTGAGTAAATAAATTCTCTTTCCCCCCTTAAAGTGATAAGTATGAGAATGCAGGTATGAATTTGATATCACTGTGTTCAAGCTTGTGGAACAAGTCATGCAGAACCCATCTTCAACTGTGCAGCTTCTGTTTTCTGAATATTGCTTATTCTTTTGGGTGAGGTGCTTTCTAAAATCCTAGCAGCAATCCTGCTCTGCTTTTCTTTAAAATGAAGGATAGCACACCTCATTGCCAAGAGAAACAGCTGAAACTAATGAAATTATTGTATAACACAGTAGTACTGTGCATTGTGACTACCTCTTGGCAATGGCAGAACATAGCCTTTAAAAAAAAATGTCCTTTATCAATTGTACAACACTTAGTTGTTCAGGTACATAATAAATATTGGCTGGGATTAAAAGAACTGCATCACTCGTTCTCCATGCCCAAAGAATCTTTGTGCTGTTTCTTGAATGGTGTCACATAACAAAACTGCTTTTGAAATGGATAGGGCTTTCAAAAACCGTGTGTAATGTAATTTTCCAACCTGCTGGACTCTAGATGTTTTGGACTTCAACTCCTTTCAACCTCAGCCAGCAAGGAAGGATGTGTGTGCCTTACATGTAGTCAAAAATCCCACTTGTTGTGCCTAAGGTATCTCTTTGAAGCCCACTCATTAGTACTTTGTAGTGGAAGCCAATGGCTATGAAATTCTAAAGTGTTGCAATAAGTGGACTATACTCCCAAGATAACAAGGACTTTGAGAAACTAGAAATGGTAATTAAACACGGTTTTTATTTCATTTTAAACTGTCGCTTAAACCCACGGCTTCAGAAGAATAAAAGAGCTCCAAGTAGAAGTTTTGAACATGTAGGTAAATATTCTCAGGCATAAGCTTTTATATTTAGAATATACCACTTAGACTTTTGGGAACAAAATTTGTTTCCTTTAGAGTGCTGATCTTCACTGTAACTTTAAACAAGTTAGCAAGATCCATGCTTAGAAGTGTACTAGCTTTGGAAAAATGATGCATCAACCTGGCATTCCATTGTACATTTTAAAAATTTTACTTCTGGTTATAGAGTGCCATGTGGAATTGTGTTTTTGGATGGGGCCAACACTCGCTTTGAGATTGTGAGCAAAGCTTGAGAACAAAATTGTCATAAATCTTCGGACACAATTGGCCCACAATCCTGACCTAAATCAAAACACCTGTGGCAAATCAGTATATATATTCATTTCTTCTTACTTATATTCAGCTAAGGACCATAGTTCAATGGTAGAGAATCCACTGTGCATGCAGAAGGTCCTATGTTCAATCCTTGGTATCTTCAGGTAGGGCTGTCCCAAACTCCTGGGAGCCACTGCCAGTCAATGTTGTCAATACTTAGCTAGGTGGACTAATGGCCTGACTTTGGTATAAGGCAGCTTCCTCTGCTCCTATGATCTGAAATTTACCATGTGCTAAAGTGGTGTCACAGTGGACTTTTAGGGCTGGTAAGAACATGTAGGGCAATGCATTCACCTCCTTTTCTTTCCGAACCCGTGTTTTTAAACCATGAGAAAAGAGTTGACGGTGCAGCCGCTCAAGGCAAGTATACTATGCACATTTAGGGAAACTTTGAAAACATATTGGGTAGACAGCTAGGATTGTAATGCATGAATTAGCCCTTAGATCTTCCCATTGGGGAATTGTTTCAGAAAGTCACTGTGGTGCAAGTAAAAAACAGCTGTGTGAAAGCTGGTTACAGACTCTTGAATCAGATTTGATGCAAGTGATGACAGCCTTTCAAGGAATTGGCAGGTGTGTATCCCACTTACTTTCACTTGCCTATTTGCATGCTGTGACTCTGATCATCTTGAAAGTGTGAGGTTTTGCTCATAAAGGCTGAAGCAGTGACACCAGCAGGTAAAGGGTAATTTCCATGAATTATAAGGGACCATTCTTCCGAGTTCAGACCCAGTCCTTAAAAGGATATTATGCATGCTTAAGAAGGTCATTGCTTCGTGCTGGAGGTAAAACAAATGCCATGTGCAAAACGGATTTGCTTTGGATAAAGTAAGGCTTCAAAAAACAAATGTTGATGGCAGCCTGTACTTTCAGAGAAGAACAAAAGCTGATCAGGCCAGCTTGTCTGTATACACCTGTGTGTCACAGGACAGCTCGAAAGGTAGTTATGGCCTGCTAACTTGGCTGGAAGGCTGTGTATAAAACTGGCCCGTAGAGTGGCCAGTCATCAGGCTTATTGCCAGCCAGGCATTATGCTGTGTGATCTGTTTCTCCAGACTGGATAGTAACTGGCACTTCTTTAGCAAAGTTTCAAAATATTAAGGAGCCAATCCAATTTTAAAATTGATGAGCATTTGGGCGAAAACAATATAATAACAGACTTTCCAAGAGAGAGAGAGAGAATCTTAGGGATAATGATATTCCTTGTAAGGGTGCTTTCATTTGCACACACTAAACTGCAAATCAGGCTTGTAAACTTTCTATACACACGTCTTCCACACTTCACCAGTATTTTTCTTTTTAAAGCATTGTCTTGTTTAAAAGGAAATATGATCCCTCTGCTGTGTCTGGAGGAGATCTACACCTGTTTTCTGTCATTGAGAACCACACCTAGATATGCTGCAGAAGCTGTTTTGTGAATTGTTCCCCAACATTTTTGTTTGTGGAACACCCACTCTGGATCTGCATGCTTGGCACCTATACTCAATGTCATTCTGGAGCCAGCTAAAAGCATATATTTTCCTCTGGTTTTCAGTTCAGTAAATATACTCGACTTTTATTGCTCCTGAGCTATTTCCTAGTTTTATTGGCATTTTTATCTGGATCTTTTGGCTGCTGCAATGTATTTTGAGTTTTCATATGATTTATTTTAGCATGTTTTCCTGTTTGCTGCTTTGGTTTTTTTAGTGTGTGTGTGGAATAGTGTGGGATATAAACCCAGTAATTAAATAGATGCACTCAGGCTTAGTTTTATTGTATAAATATGGCTTTTTGGTTGCGTCCACGGGATAAACTTGAGGTTGTGTGAAACTGCTCTGATTTAGGGCCAGACTAGATGAGCAGAGCCACCACGTATATGTTGAACATGTGTTTGCTTGGTTCATATACAAAGCAGGGCTGGGTGGGTCTCAAAAAAAGGAGTGTACAAAGGAGGAGAGCAAAATCTGGTCCACTCCTTTGTGTTGCCTTGCTATGCTCTATTGTTAAACAGTTCTTCCCTAGCCCGGATTGGATACCAGAAGTGAGGAATCATATGCGTCCTCTGTATGTTCCATTGTGCAAAATAGAGGGTAGATGAGGAATGAGAAACCTGTGACCCTCCAGATGTTATTGGACTCCACCTCCCATCACCCTTGACTATGGAGCATGCTAACTGGGGCTGATGGGAGAGATAACCCTGGCATACACACCCCACACCCTTGCATTTCGGGTGTCTGGGGCAAACATGCGTTGATCAAATTGTGTGGTCACCCTGCATGATTCTTTTGGCTCTCAAAGGGGACACTTGGGTATTGCTGTTTTATTGCTTGCACTCGTGGTGCGTTTATGTCCTGAATGAAGCGAACCCACATCCTAACAGCAGTTTTCTGCTTTTGCAATTTCAATAGTGTCTTTCTTTTCCTTGTAGTTTAGTGACAACTTTGAAAGCAGTGTGTGCCAAAGCCTTAGCAGCCAGGAGGCATATCAAAAGAAACCTCATTCAGTAAACCCCCTCCCCCAAGTCTGCTTATTTCTATCATAATGTGTTGGTCTTTTTTGAAGGGCTATTTTTTTGGCCATTGAAGCTAACTATGCCACAAGAATCCACGCAAAAACCCTTCCCCAGGTTTTGGCAACTGCTGCAGCCATAGTGATGAACGGCCATGTCTCTGAAATATGCAAATAAGAATCAGCCGCCGCCTCTGGCACCAGAGACATTTCCAATGCATTTTCTGGATTTTATTTTATTTTTTGTCTGTACACTCGGCGGCCAGATAGGCATAAAAAATGATCCTGCTTCTTCGTAGTTCAAATAAGCATTTTGCTTTAAATTACATTGTCACTTACTAAACTTCCTGTAGCACTCTTGGCAGGCTGAGCTGGTTTTTTCTTGGGTTGTGTGCTCAGACTTTACTGTATACAGTTGCCTGGGCTTTTTTTCTCTTTTCTTTTCTTCCTTTTTAGCCCAACAGTCACTGTGAGGAAAAGTACTGAGTTGTGCTTCCTGTGGTTAATACAAACTATTATTGGCATGGAGTATTCTTTCCTGACCTCATTAATCAGGAAAAGAGAGGAGAGAAAAAGAGAGGGGGGGGGAGAGAATAAAGAAACCTAAACATGCTACTAAACTGAGTCTGAGAAATGGGTGTCCTTAATTAGTTGGAAAAGTGCTGTGCATACATGCTGATATTACCGCCACACAGGCAATTTGCAGTACTGTTAACATGCTTAATGGATAATATTATTATTTTTGACTTGTTTCAAGTCAAAGACTGTTGGAGTCCCCACCCACCCACCCAAAGACACTGTTATTCTTTTCGTACGTGAATTATAATATCCGTCAAAATTGGCAACAGAGTTTTGTGTCTAGGGAACAGAGCTGATTCTAAGTTTTGGACAGACGTGTTATAGTCCTGCAAGCAGCTATATTACTGCAGAGTGTTGGAGGAGGATTGCTTGTTTGAAAGTGTTTCCAGTGACAAAATTTCATTGAACTGTAAAATTTTCATATAGAGGGAGTGCAGGCAATTATTTTTGCTCATTAGGTGCTTTCATGATGGTATCTAAGGCAATGCACATATTAAAATTACATAGAACCAGCTATCAGTTAGGTACAACAAATTCAATTGTAACACGGGCAATAAAATAAGAATGATAAACACAGCAGCACTCAGTTTATCCATACACACAAACAACATGAAAAATCCTTTCAAAAGTACAGGATAAGTATCCCCTTCTTGAGAAATACGGTAAAAATGTGGTAAGATGAATCTCTATTGGGAGAGTTCCATAAATTGGGTGCCAACAGAGAAGTTACCTGTTTCCCAGTGATTTGGGACTGTATCACATCAGAAAGTGAATGTTTAAAATATAAACATTGTAAGTTATTCAAATGTGCACTTTCTGCTATGGCATAGTCCCATCACAGAGGTGGGGGACTGCAAGCCTGGAAGTTTGAAATCACTGAGAAGCAGAAATTTTGTGAGTCTTTCTAGGTGTTGTGGGGCATTATATAAAATGGCATGTTTCAAACAACAGAAATGCTAAAAGCCACAATGTGTCATCTTTTAGATCCGGAGTTTTATGGTATGTGTTTCTTTTATAACGGTCTTTATGGTTTGAGCAATTTCATAAGCTAGTCTTTTTAAATACATCAGGCATTTCTGCTTGAAAGCGTTTTGTTTTGGAATTGTGGCAATTGCAATTACCAGACTTGTCCTTCACGGAGAAATACGTACCCGGCAGGAATGGCAATAATCCAACTTTAAATATGGCATGAATATGTTCTCTGTTCAGCAGGCTCAACTGTTGCACTGAGAACCAGGATGCATATTCAGCCTTTGAAGAATTACTTTTGTAAAGAAGCAACATCCGCCCTTCCAGCTCTACTATAATTCTTGCATACATGACCGATGTATATAGGAAAACTGATATATGGCTATTGATAAGATCAGGTTTGTACTTTTCAAGGTGTTTAGAAGTGGTAAAGTCTGTGGTGAGTTGTGCTAAGCACAGGCAGAAAGGAACCAGTTCAGTTTTTGTTTTTTTTAAACAAAGGAACTTCAGGCTTCAAAAAAGAATCTCTGAAGAATACTGCTTAATTTTACTTCAGGACATACTTTTGGAACTGACCTTGGCTACAGCTTGTGGTGTGTCCAGACCAGTGAGACAAGCCATGAGCCTGCAGGTGGAAAAATCAAAATTGGAAACAGAATTGTTAGACTCCAAAATTAAGAATTTGTCAAAAATGTATAACTTGCTGTTGAAATGGAATACTCAGGATGAAACGGTGAAATCAGCAATGATTAAATGGGCACAAGATGTTGGACATAACATAATGATGGCTGACTGGGAACAGTTATGGACCACAGGTATGAAATTTATGGCATGTAATGCTCTAAGAGAAAACTTAATGAAAATGATTTATAGGTGGTACATGACACCAGTCAAGCTTGCAAAAATCTACCATTTGACTGATAATAAATGTTGGAAATGTAACGAGACTGAAGGCACATTCTTTCACCTTTGGTGGACATGCCCAAGGATTAAGACATTCTGGGAGATGATTTATAACGAAATGAAAAAGGTATTTAAATATACCTTCCTGAAGAAACCAGAGGCCTTTCTCCTGGGCATGGTCGGCCAATTGGTGCCAAAGAAGGATAGAACTTTTTTTATGTATGCTACAACAGCAGCAAGAATAGTTATCGTGAAGTATTGGAAGACACAAGATTTACCCACCCGGGAAGAATGGCAGATTAAGTTGATGGACTATATGGAATTGGCGGAAATGACTGGCAGAATCCGAGACCAGGGAGAAGAGTCGGTGGAAGAAGATTGGAAAAAATTTAAAGATTATTTACAGAAATACTGTAAAATCAATGAATGTTAGAAAAATGTTGGAATGAAGTTACATGGCTTTAGTAGAAATGTTATAAGGAATTAAGTATAAATAGATTAATAGAGTATTAAAGGAAAAAATAAGGTTAGAATGAGTTAAGATAATTATAGGATAGAAAACAGAGGTAGATGGAAAGGAATTGCTGAAATAATTAACAGAAGTGGAATACAAAAAGGGAGGTGTGAGGAGGTCGTGGAAATAAGTGAATGAAAGATGGGATAATAAAATTGTTTGATTTATTTTATTGTTGTATTGTTTTGTTAGTTTAATGTATTGTATTGTATGTGTTTTTTCTTTTCTTTTAGTGTTTAATTTTTTTGGAAAAGTAATAAATATTATTAAAAAAAAAAGAAGAGAGACAAGCCATGAGCCTATGTCTGGGTTTGGATATAATGCTAAGGCAAACCATGTCTAGGTGCTGGATTTCACCACAGCAGGAGCAGCAGATCCAGGGGAGAGTGTCTGATTTCTCCCTGTGAGTATCTGCTGTCTTGCACATTTATGCTTACCCATGCTTTGGCTTAGTGTTTTGCATGAACTGGGCAGTAGTGTTCTTCTGGCTTCTCAGCTTCTGGTTTTTTTTATATGAATGACAAGGAAGGTGACATTCTGGCCAAGCCAGCAAAATTCAGATGGTTTGGCAACCCTATTAAGTGCTCACATTTAAAACTAAAACTTTCTTCCATGTGATCACCCTCAGGGCCCTCAGGTAACCAGGGACGCCGTTCTCTGACAAATGGCTCTGCTAAAAAAGATGGTGGCAAGATGAAGGTGGCTTTTAAAGTCCCTGCCCTTTGAGAGACTTTCTAAATAACACCCCTTGCTAACTTTTGAAGGCCAGCAAAGAGATTTAGGAGGGCCCTTGGAGAATCATTTCTCTGTCGCATTTAAATGTATATTTGTAATGCTATGAGTGTTTATTTTTAAAATGAGTTCAAAAACTCAACTATAGTTTTTGAAATATGACATTATCTTGACCAACGTGTTTGTTAGCTGTCTTGGGGACCTAATTAGCTGTGGTATATGTTTAGTAGTTTAAAAATAAATAGTGATTTATTTATTTTTTAATATAACTGGTAGTTTTCCAGCTTAGTCATTTAGTTTTGAGCAGTTGGCTTGCCTGCTTTTTTTTGAGGATCTTGTGATTATCTAATTGAGCATTCAAAGTATATTCATATGTTGTTACCCTTTGACATTTTCTCCACCCCCAAATCCTGATTACCTGTCGGCAAAATGACGAAAATCACCAATTATATCTGAGTCAAAAAGGGCAACAAATCTCAGAGAAATTTAGAGAGAACTGAGCACATTTTTGTGGAAATCCTGGAATAATATGTACTACAGGTATACGGTATATTACTTCCCCCACTATTTATAAGTTCAGTTTGGTACTTAGTTTGCTATTATTATGTTTACCTTTCAAAATACCTTTTGTCCCCCGGTTTATTTATTTGTTAAAAGATGGGGGTGAGGCATAACAATATTTCCCCTTCTTATACTATGCTCCTCTGACAAACAAAAAATCCAGCTCTTGTAAATCGGCTTCTTTTAAGAAAGAAATTTAATGTGAACAATGCCCTCTCTGCAGTTATTTGAACTGTCACTTTCTACAGTCTCATCATCTGTCCCTTCAGCAGTAATGAGCATGAATGCAGTTTGATAACATTTTCAGGAAAACATTATGCAAACTGTGAAGGGAGGAAATATATTCTCTAGACAGAATTGAAGAGAGTGAGAGTGAAGGGAGAAACTCTTATTTTGCTTTATAGATCTGTTGCTGGAAACCACAAGAGGGGAGAGTGTTCTTGTGCTCATATCCTGCTTGCAGGCTTACTATAGGCTGGTTGACCACAGTGAGACTAGAAGGACCATTGGCCTGATCCAGACGGGTCTTCCTAAGCAATCAACAAATATTATTGGAATCAAAAGTTGACAATTCTGCCTTATTAGACCAGCTGTTGAGTAGGTTCCTCTTGTTACAAATCTGATCCCCAGAGGTTGGTGTTCAGAACTGCTGATGAATGGGACAGTGTTTGTTTTCTAAGAGCAAATCTTTGTTTGCCCAACAGTAGCACCACAAAGTGGCAATGTGGTCCTGGTTTTTTCCAGTGTAATGTTTTGTACTCATTCGTGCCCTTCATATGAAATCTGACAAGACTGTATTTTACGTTGAGAAATGCTTGAATGGTAGGTTTAGTTTAGAGAGGCTGGCTATAAGATTAGTTTAATAAAATCAAACTTATGGAAAGGGTTGAACTCTTAGGAACTCTTGACATGGATATTGGTGGTGTATTGGTTCTAGGGGTTGCTCGTGCGTAAGCAGGTGCCTATCTCCCCGGCTGGGTGCAAAAGTGAACCTTTTCTGTCCGGACAGCCACTCACCCGTGGCTGACTCAATCGCTGGCAGAATCCGTCAGTGGGCGTTTCTTAAACTTCTTCCAGCAAAGAAGCTCTTTGATGCCTAGTCTCCTCCTACTCTCTCTGCGCGAAAGCCTTCTGCGCAAGGAGGGCGTAGGCAACGGAGGACCCCTACTCTCCCCGCTGGTCTCAGGCAAGGAGTCATGGGACCGCCTCGCCGCTTCCCCCATCTGCCCCCCTTCTCCACTGGTGGTACGCTGATTCTCTTCCCCAGAAGATGGGCTGCTTTTCCCAATCCCTGGACGCTCTCTGCAATCCCTCTGGCTTTTGCTCTCTCCCTCCGGCACTGATGGCAGTTCCCTGACAGGTGGCTCCCAGAACTTACAGTTGCCCCCAAATGGAAAAATGTACAGGAATTGTGACTCTTGCTGTGGTATAAAAACACGCAGAGTTTAGCACTAGCTGAAAAAACAACTCATAAATTATGTGTTTCCGAAGACTTGGAGGATTGTGAAACATTCTGTGCTGTTTGGTGGGATTTTATCATATATACAACAAATACAGACACATGGGACTCTCTCTCCATGGTACAACGTGAAATTCAGCTTTCCTAATTATTTTAGGTACTATGCTTACCTGATTTAAGTCTCTTTCAGGTATACTGCCCTGGTTGTTGTTATTTTGGTATTTGTCCTATAATTTTTATTGTTTTGTTCGACTTACTTCAGTAATTATTTTTTTAATTCCAACTTATTAGTATGATTATTTGCTTTGAAGTAGGTCCATTATGTTCAGCATTGCATTCTGTTAAGTACAGTGATAAGTAACTGGTGTCAAAAACCTTACATGAATTGAGGACCAAGTACTTAAAAGTTCAATTTTTCCAATACTTGCTCCCTTGTACCTTTCAGCTAGGTGGGGAAAACTTTTCCAGTTCTGCCATCAGTGGGCATGGCTTGTGGGGTGGGGCAGGGTGTTCTTGGTGGCAGCCCCCTGTGTCCAGAATTCTCTCCATAGTGAAATCTGGTTGTCACTCATGCTGGTAATAATCTGGCTAAAATTAAAAATGGATTTATTTCAGCCATTTGGTACACTGTTGCATTGGAATTTTAGTTAAGGTTTTATTGCTTGCTTGTTGGTTTTATTACCTTAGGATGAGGGACAGGATAGAAGAAAATTAGCAAGCAAGAAAACAATAGGTAACTTCATGCAAGATACAGGTGAAGCACATGCAGTCTTCACACACCATTTGGTAATCTCACAGCAACATATTGGTCCCAGGTTCTGGTAAATGCTTGGATAGGAGAATGCACAGGAAGCCCTTTATACTGCCTCAAGTTCCATGATGGAAGAAAGGTGGGATATAAAAGTACTAGATACACAAATAAATGGAAGGGGAAAGGGCCATATCTCAGTAGTAGACAATCTACTTTGCATGTTCAATTGCCAGCATGTCCTGGAAAGTCTGAGAAGGGCTCCCTGTTTGGAACTTTGGAGAGCTGCTACCTGTTTGTATAATACTGAGCTAGATGGAGCAGTGATCTGACTTGGTTTAAGGCAGCCTTTTATGTTTCTAACTATTCCTGCGTAAATGACCTAGGCCTGTCGATGGCTGCATTTTTGCTTCATCGGGAGGAGTAAATAGTAAGGTTCTTTAGTTCTTTTTCTTTAAGTTGCGAAATGAGAAGCTAAAATCCAGGCATGTGGTTTTTCTTCTGTTTTCATTTTTATTATTTTTGGCAATTATCTTTTCTGCTTTTCCGGTTTTAATTTCCTTCTGTGTGCACACTGTACTGGTTTATCCTAAAACCCCACTTTGAGGATGGATTTATAACCTCTGAAAGCTCAGCAGCTGCTGTCAAGGAAATTTTGAGTACGGTAAATCTCTTTTTGAACATATTGGCATTCACTTAGGCCCCAAAGTTGAATATTTGTCCTCACTAAGGTGCAGATGCAAAGAATAGCAGATGCCACGTCAAGCAGAAGAAATGTGTAATTTAAAATTATCTGTTTTGCCAGACTCATTAGAGAGGTCATTTGTGTGCTTAGAATAATAATAGGAATTGTGTTTGCACTCTTTATTTCCAGGGATGACAAAGAAATTACTGCAGCGATACTCAGATGCATCTGTTTGTTGTGATCCCCTCCTCACAGTAGCCTTAAAGGAACCTTGCTACACCTTGGGCATTGGAATTGATATTTTCTGCATTATTGTGTGGGTCCTAACAAGAACCGAAAGCCTAAGGTGGCTATGAGACAATTCTGCAGATCATCTTCTCATTCCATGTGTTTTTTCTTGCCCAGAGGCAACACAGGTGACTGGAGATGGTGGGCCCATATGCTAGCCTACCTTATTTATTTCCACGTTGGGAGATTTCATATTGGGGTTGTGTGATTTTATTATTTATTTATTTAGAACTTCTAAAAACATATAATAATAATCAAGAAACAATTAAATATTGATAGAATTAAAACTATATACATATAAAAACCTGTTTAAAACATACAAATAATTACAATGGAAACAGTAAAAATCAGATTTTAGATTAGGCATTCCCTGCATGTAGGGTCTCTAACCCTCCCTTCCTGACCCATCTGTTTTATACTTTAATTTTTGCATATTTTGTAATTCTATCTGCTTTCCTTTTCAGCATTTGGGTTTTAGGCCATAATCAAACATAAGGCAGGTGGGGAAGTGAACCACTTTTTTTTGCACCCTAACTCTTTTCTGTGCCACTCTGTAATGCCAGACATTGGCTAAAGGAGCCAACTGCATGGTTCCTTCCATTACTGGGGAAGTTCATTTAAAAATATGTGAGGTATGTTAGTCTTGAATCTTCTAGATGTTGAAAGATGTTGGTGAGGCTTGCAAAACATAGGTAGAGATGCTAGCACAACAGTAAAACTGTACCCACACATGGTTTTGCAAGGACTAAGATGGAGATGGGGAACCTGAGATCCTCTAGACGTTTCTGGACTACA